TCCGGTACCTCACAGGCTTGCCTATAGAGCAAGCAAGAATCCTGTCCCAAATGAATTGAAAAAACTGCTTGAACACTGATACTCGTTCAAGAATGTTCCACTTGATGTTGTTTACATGAACAACCTCTCGACAAAGCTGTGTCATCTTTTCATGAACGACCTCGGCCATAAAAATGGAACTTTGCTTCAGGCTTTTTCATAGTACTTGCTACTGTTAATGTTGTATGGCATTTCTTTTTCTTTTCAACTGACCAAAGTTGAAGAAGGTGTCTTTGTAGCATGGGAGAGACAGTTGACCGGTATTTTGTGGATGCCAAAACAGTCCAAAATGCCGGCCTCTTGGGTTTTACGTGGTGGAAGGGGGAGCTGTGAGCATCAGGGTCAATACTGCTGTCTTTGGCTCTGGGGCAAGAAGGGTGTTTTGGTCATTTAAGGAAAAGGGTATTTTGGGGAACTTGTGGAATATGGGTGGAGGGATAAAATAAAGTTTGGAGGCATATAAAACTTTTGGCAGTATAGACGGGGCACAGGCACCTTCCGGTGCATAAGAAATATAGATTGAAGGATGCGATGCTTCCAAGTTATAATAATTTAGGAGGTATCATGGGGTGTAATGCTGATACATTTAGGAATGGTGTGAGACAATTTTTGGGGAACTTCTTAGTTCAATTTTCTTTCATGGAATATTTTTTTTTTAAGGTAATTAACAGTAATTATTAAATTTGATCCAGAATAATATGTTAAATTAAAAACCAATTAGGGTTAGGGTTTTTTTTCAGAGTTATTTTGGATATTAATTTATTCAAACTTATTAAGATATAACAAAATTAATTTTTAAATTTTTTAAAAAATTATTATTTTAAATAAGTTAATTAATTGAAATGATGGAATAATCACATTAGTTTGAATATATCAATTAGGGTTCTAATTTGTGAGACAAGAATCTCCATGAACTAATGAACAAAAATGATGTTGGAGGTTTTTTTTTAAATATTATTTTTTATCTTTTATTTAGTTTTTAAAAATAAATAATACGTTGCCCTTTGATCGGTGGATGTAGATCATGGGGCTTCAAGCCTTTCGGAATATAGAGCAAATGCTGCTCTTACCATCATGCTCAATGTTTCACCCAAAAAAAAAAACCCCTTTCTCTTTCACCAAAGCCACAAGGATATAATTAAGAAAAAACAAAAACAAATACTTCTCCTCGGGTTCATTTGTTTAGAGTAAAGTATTTCACATTTTTTTAAAAATATTTTTCATATAAATTTTTTTTTATATTTATTTCCTATAAAATATTTTACAGAAAAATTAATTAATATAAAATATTTTATAGTTAATTTTCAAACTCAATTTATTTACTAAAAAATATTTTCAATTCATAAAATATTTTATAAATAATAATTTACTTATAATATCATCTAACTATTTCAATCACCAACCCAGCCATCTACTTTACTATCGCAAACATATCACTATTCTCCTCCTCTCTCTTTTTAATTATCACTATAACATTTTATATTTTATTATTATTATAATCATCTCACTATAATATTTTTTTATTATTATCACGATATTTTTTTAAGTTATCATTATCTTATTATTATAATAATTATTTTATTATTATTATTATTATCATTATTATCATCATCATTATTACAATTATGATTGGGATTGAAAAATATTTTACATTAAGAATATTTTTGACGCATAAAATATTTTACACGGAACCCTAGAGAGGTTGATGGTAGTGGCCGTCAATGGCTGAACCTTCGTCTTGATCATAATCAACCTCATCCAAAGAAGGTTTCCCTATGGTTTGATTGATTTCCAAGGATACCCCCACACGATCCCAGTGAATATAAAATCCACTTTCCTCATCCTTGTTGATAAGAACAAAGGCAACCCCCCAAAAAAGTTATCCATCTCTCTTACGCCTTCGACAATTTCAATGGAGTCCCATTTCGATTTCGAAACCACAACCTTGAGCACTCAAATCAACGGCATGGTTATTATAGGGTATTTTTAAAAGTTTGGTAGTGATTGGTTTATAAAATGTTCATGGTTATTAAAGGGTATTTTTAAAAGTTTGGTAGTGATTGGTTTATAAAATGTTTTTTATTTTGAATTTTTAAAAAATTATTTTTATATTAACATATAAAAATGATTTAAAATATATTAATTTAAAATAAAAAATAATTATATATATAAAAAACACTTTCTACCTATATAGCTGAGCATTGCCTAGTCTCATTCTACAATAATCTTCATGTTTATATTAATTGTTGTGTTTGCATCATATATATTATTAGTAAATGATTAGTGGGTTCGGACAAAGGTTATTATCTCCAAATAAAGTTCTAGGAAATACATTTATAAAAATTTATTTTAAAATTATCATGAAAATATCTTTTTTGTATTTGTTTTTTTTATTCAGAAACACTAACAAAATACAACCCCAAAAATCGTTTTTTTAATTCAGAATTACACAATAAAATTATATTTTGCACGCTTAACATTTATGGTAAATAGATATTAGCATATCTTGAAAACATGGATTTGGCAATTCGATTATATTGTTTTTGCATGGACGGTGAGAGAGATATATAAAACTCTAAAATATCTTCATGAGCATATTACATTAATGATTATCTTTGTACATATACACATTGTGTTATTAATTAATTAATTAATTAAACTGTGTGCGTTGTAGCCCATGAGTTAAAATATTGTGATCTTGGTGGTTGAGTACACCACCTCCTAGCTAGAGGTCCACCTTGACTAGAACCACCAAACTACTTATGATCATATACTATTTATTAGCTCTCTCTCTCTCTATATATATATATAGGCCATTGGTGGTGATGGTTAGGATATGAAAACGCAACACCAAACTTCAATTATTAAAGAATGTATTGTGTTCTTATCAAGCTATATCATGTGTGTAGCAATGTCAAGGCTCTCGTGCATGGATGGTTAATTAGGTGTTTTTTTCAACAAATTTATGAATCACATCACACCAAGTATATATGATTGGTGTATGGTTTCTTGATTCCCTGTTGATTGAATACGTTTTTGGGTTGTTGCTGCCAAACTTTCATGTGTTGAACCCACGTTTTTGGGTTTTTGTTGCCAAACCTTCATGGGAATTAGGGTTAGTAGGAAAAGAGCGTTCTACATCTCAAAATCAACCTTGCTTTTGGCTTTTCTCGAGAGCAAGTTAGCCATTGCCAAGTGGGAACCAAATTCATGTAATTTGTGAACAAAATCCTGTAAGTAATGTTAGATTCTCTTCATTTCTTCAAAACTCGAGCCAAATACAATGAATTTTGGTGGTAGCTAGAGGACATTGATAATTGTAGCAACCTCGTTAGAAAAGTTAATGCTAGCTACAATGTCATTTCCCTAACACTCGTGGATCATATCCTAAGATCGTGTTGAAGAAGAAAAAAATCCAAAGGCTGAGAGGCCGGTGGTCAGTCAAGAAGAGAAAGCAAAGCTTTCTCCATAGCTTTCAAGGTTTGTTAGAGCTTGACAATGACCTAATTACCAATCATGTTGAGAAAAAATTAATGGCAAGAAAGAACAATTAGTGTTTATCATCCAAAATATCTCTTAATTTAGTCGTAAACCTAATCCCCACTCATGATGATTAAGAGGATCTAACACTACCCAACAAGCATATTATATTTTATATATGTATATATATTATGTCATGGAGGCTTAGGACAAAAGTCATTCTCTTAACTTGTAAGAACTGTGCTTGTTTTCAATCATTTTGTTAACTTGGATTTTCTTTCCAGAATTAAAAGAGGATAATTATCTTCTCTCACGACTTGAGAGGGCTTGGATGCTTGAAAACTAATAGTCAAGGTGCATAGGCTAGGATAATATATAGAATGTTTCCGTGTAAATCATGATGAAGGAGATATTTTAATTGACAGTTTATGGATTAACTAATTAAATGCCTCACAATATTATGTTTTAGTGGGTGTTTAATATTGTGGTTTGTGTATAATATTTTTTAAAATTAATTTTATTCTGAAAATATATTAAAATAATTTTTTTATTTTTAATTCAAGAAAATTAATTGCATTAATACTAAAATCAATAGTTTGTTACATCAATTTATTAGGTTAATATAAGAAATTACTGAGTTTTAAAATTAGCTTGTTACATCAATTTTAATTGCATTAATTTTTTACATTATGATATAAAATTAAAGTTTTAAGCTGAATTAAAAACATATAAAATTCAGTCAAATTTGGTCGACTTGATTCGGTTGATTCATAATTTAATTAATTTAGCTAGATAAACTTAATTTTTTTAATAAAATAAAATAGTATCATTTTAATAAAATAATTAAGTTAATAATCATGAATTGACTTGACAACCTAAGGCATTTTCCTCCACGTAGATTAGATCAGTTAAGACAGCTATGCTCAAAATGTCCAAATTTTACGATGCAAAATTGCAAATTACAAAGTGGATGTTAAATGGGCTCTGGTCTGGGTCATGAATCAGCTAATTAAGAGCCCAATTAAGCTTTTCCGAGATTATTTTACCACGTGTCCAATCCTTATTACCAAACTGAACTAAGGTGACGTGTGACATTAGTTTTCATGATATTTTTTTTATTTTTAAATATATTAAAATATTATTTTTTATTTTTTAATATTAACCTATTATTTTCAAAATAATATGTAAATAAATTAAATAATTAAATAAATTAATTAAAATTTATAAAAAAAATGGTATTAAATTAATTAAATAATTAATTAATTAAAATTTATAAAAAAAATGGTTGAACCACATAATATTCCAAAAAATATTAAAATAATATTTTTTTATTTTTAGAAATTATTTTATATTAACTTATAAAAATGGTATAAAAACATAAAATATATATTAAAATAAAATAAAATAAAATAAAAAACTTTTCAATTTTTCAAATGCATTTCCAAAACACAATACTGTCAAAGCAGTACTAAAATAAGAAAAAAACTGCACCTCGTATTTGCCCACCTTGTAAAACCCTGGAACCCTAAAACCCACGTAATTAACAGAAACTCTGAAATAACAATTTATGGATAAATTTATGACGAAATAGAAAAATCTAAATATGGGATCTGAAATTGAAACCCTGGAGGAGAGATTGAACTCGTTTCTGGTGCAGCTTCAAGCAGAATGTAGGGTGTTGGAGAGAATGGTGTACAAAAATAAGAACCAGCATAGAAGATGCTCTTATTTTCAGTATCTACTAAAGGTAAGTAATTGCTAGACTTGTTGAGGTTTAAGTGTTCTTTTGTTGATTAGGTTTCTGGGTTTTGTTTGGTTTCTGAGAAAACTGAGAAAGAAAGGAGAGAGCTTTATACTTTTTTGTTCTGTATTAAAGGAGAAAGCTTTGTACTTTTTTGTTCTGTATTGCTTTTACTCGGAAAGAAACAAGCTTGTTTCGGTTGAACTTATTGGGGTCTTTGAATTTTGAGTCTCTATTTGAATTTTCTTACATTTATGAGGCTAGCGATGGATAGAAGAACAAGAAAATTTTGGGTTTCTTGCCTCTTTTTGGACATCAAATTTGAAGAGAAGTGGAGCCCCTTTGGGGTCTAGTAGCTATCACTGTCAAGTTTGGTGGTGTTTCATTTGCATCTCTATATTTAGATTCTGTAGTATGCTGTATTTTTCTGGCAATTTTCAATTTTTTTTAAAAAAATTATGAGCTCACATTGTTTATATGTCTATTTTTTTGCTTGAGATACTAGGTGAGGAGGGATTTGAGACTTTTGCAATCTATCAAGTTGGAGGAGATAGTGGGTTCTTGCTTCCATGTTATTTCTGGAAGGAAACCTAGACAAAAGGTTCATCTGTTAGAAAGGTACATTATTTTACTTTTTCAAATATTCAGTTGTTCTTTATGGATTCAATTGTGCAAGCTTACACTTTGTCAAGATGTGAATCACATGATGCACAGAGAGGAAAATTATTTCGAAGCACTACAGAAAGAGGATGGAGATTGATGTTATGCTTTTCTTTACTGTAGGTAGTGTTTTGTTCAGGAAAGCAAAATTTTGTTGATTAAGTTTGTTATGCTCTTCCGGATACAATTTGTATATGATATCGAGACATGTCTCATTCTGGCTACCTTTGAAATAATAGTTGTTCTTTAATTCATGAATGTTATGATATTGTTAATATTAACTAGGAGAGTAGCGAGTGTTGTATTAACTTCTATCTTTACCCATTCACAAGGAACAATGAGCATCCTTAGGCCTCTGTGAAATTATGTTGAATATAAAACTAGTAGCAAGGACGGTAGCTCCCTCACGTTCAATCTAATGGAGGTTTGTGTTGTAACACAAACATATCTATCATTTGCCGAACCTGGACATTGCATTGGTGGTTGAATTGGATTAGAGTTATTTGTTATACAACATGAATATCTTTAGGTTTTTCCTTGTGGGTAATATTTTTAGGATTTGTTGTTATTTCATTTGTTACAGTTTGAAGTGGAGAAAATGTGACTCTGGAACACCCAATTTTATGGAGCGACTTCTAGGAGCTGCACGCTTACTGTCACAGGTACATAACTATGGTTTTTGTTTTGCTTTGTTCTGATCTCACTTACTTTCTTCCAGATATCCTGCAGTTAATATTCTTTTCATCTCTCTATAAAAGCAAGGACATTTTGATCTATCTCCAGCACATCTCTTTTGCATCTAGGGTATTACTTTTTAATCATGACCATTTGGAGACGACAAAAATCTGCCTCATAGATTAGAAAGTATTATTGAGGCTTTTCACAATTACACGTGGATACAGTGCAGAGCTAAAATGTATATTCTCAATGTTTGTTGCAGATAGTGGAGCCAATGCTGAAAGCAGCTACGTATCCTTTTTGTCCTGTTGGTTAATGTATAGCTAATTTTATTGTCCTAATCAGTGGTTTTTTTTTTTTTTTTTATCTCTGCTTTATCTACTTGGTCACATTAATTTGGTATTTCAAGCATGCAGTAATTAGAATAATTACTCTGCCGTCCTACATGTGTTCCTGATTCAAGTAATGGCAATGACTATCTTTGCATATTTGCAAAAGTTTTTTCCACATATCATGCTGAATGATATGTGGTTGTATACACACATGCTCCCATGCACTCTCTGGTGCACTTGCAATGAACAAACATAAACACGAGCAAACATATAATTCATGTTGGCATATCCATAGGCGTTTTTGTCATATTTGTTGAAATAGTTTCATTTGCAATCCTATGAGCTTCATTATCTGTTTGCATTCTTGTAAATAGGAATCTACTTTAAAGCTTGTACTCTACCTTGCCTGCTCTTCACCACTCTTTTATTTGTTCTCCTTGCTTTTTCTCTGTAATTTCAGGTTTTAACATATGTTTTTCTATTTCTAGATTTCTAAGAAACCACGAGTTTCCCTTTCTAGTTTTACTACCTTTAATGTATCTCAATTATTTGGGTCTTTGATTTCTTGAGACTACTATGTAAAAGGCAGGCTGCCTGGTTTGTTCTTTTTATTTTGTTGGATCATTCCCTTGACTATGGTGCAGTGATATATCTACTCTACTGGCACGTTCTTTTTTTATGGGATTTTCTCTGACAATTTTGGCTTTGCTTGCACGTCTTCGAGTTTTGGTTCAGCAAGTAAGTTGCCTATCTGTTTCCAGAAACTGCTTGAAGTTCGAAATATTGTAGTGTGAGCCAAGTGTGTTAGTTTACAGCATAAAAAAGCTATGATGTCACATATATGGATATTCTTGAAAATTCCGATCAATATGCATAGTATGCCTTTCTGATATTTGGAAACTGATACCCAGTAGAAAATGGACTGGCTTTCATTAGAAACAGAAGCGCATTACAAATTGAGTCTTGTTAGGATTGTTATTGTGAAAGTAATGATTAGATAACCTAAAGCACAAAGAAAGCATCTCTATGTGTTTAACGGGAGCATGAAGTTTATGCCGCTGCTTATGAAAATCTTTGTGGTTTGCTTCAACAGATATTGCTTGATGTTGTTTCAGTATTCAACATGGTCTCCTCTCTATCCCAAGAGAAGCAATCTGTAAAAATAACACAGGAAGGACTTGAGGTTGGTCAAATTCTTATTTTCTCTGCATGTTCTTTGGGACAAAACATTTTCCTTGGTGTACCTTTTCTTAAATTTTAGTTTCTTCACAAATTGATGCAGGTGTTCAGGGAGTACTATCCAACAAATGAGGAGTTTGTCACTCTGGAGTGTGTGTGGAAGACAGACAAGTTTGTTTTGGTTGAGAAAACACACAAAATAGATGTAAAAGTTCAAGATGGAGGTCTTGGAGATAGTTCTATTGAAAAGTCAGTTCCACGTTATTGGACTATCGAGTCTTTTCTAGGAGGTAACAATATTCAGGGCAAGTTCTTGTTTCGGTTTCTTTCCATTTCTGTTGCCCTACACTTTCCAACATATTCCCATCCCCCTCCCCAGTGGCCACCCTGTGGTCAATTTTCTTTATGTATCTTTTCGGCCACAGATTCCACACAATTTAATAACATCCCTGTTTGTGAATGATGGATTTATAATTATGCTCCTGCACAGAGGCATCAATCAATCTTCATATAACCGAATCTATGAACTGGAAATCCATATACGATAATATAAGTCTCAGGATTCGTTACCGTCCTGGCCAATTTTAACTCTGGTAAATAGTTGTTTGGGTGTGTTGGGCCATGTTGACTCACTAATGTCAAAAAGGTCTGTTGCAGACAGTGATTCTGATTTCGAGAAGGCTGATGATGATCACACGGCCAAAGAAGATTCCTGTGAAGATAAGCAGCACTTGTTTTCAGGCCCTTCTGTTGAGAGTAGTGAGCATGGGAATCAAGTTGAAGGTGATGTTGAATGGGGAGACAATCCAATCATTTCAGAATCTCCTCGCAAGCAACTCCCTCCAGAAGATAGCCTTGCTGCAAAATCAAGCTCGCCTCCAAGCTCAAAAGTTTTGACACCACAATATGGAGCAAGGCAAGTGGCTTTTGTCTCGGTAAAAAGACCTGCACCCTCAACAACAGCCTTCGTCTCTGTCAAAAAACCTACAACTCCAACTTCACATATAGAAGTTCCTCATTTCAAGGAAATTGAAGACACTAGTATCAAGGATGACTCCATTTCTAATGTGCTCGCTGGTGGTAATCCCAAACAGATTCTATTTTGATGTTAAAAACGAATCAAATAGATAATTGTCTAGATTGTAAGATGTATTTTACAGTCTTGCTTTTTGCTAAGATTCTGTCGGAAAATATTTCTTACACTATTTCCATGGAATATAACTAGAAAAAAAAAAGAATAAATAAGGCGAGCTAAATTCTGTCATGATTCCACGAGATTTTTTTTTTTTTATGGAAATCAGATCAGTATAATTGAAAGCTTGTTAAAGTGATTCCATAAAACAAATGATGATATCATATAATATAATTTCATGTATCAAGGTTTTCTGTGCCTATTATTTTAAAGAAAATTGGGATCAAAATAGTTTTGGATCATCCATCCAATTCACTGATAGGTAGGCGTAAAACTAGTCTTGTTCCACTCACTTACCATTCCTGCAAATTTAATTTTACTTTGCGTGATCAATAAGAGGTTATAATTGCTTGATCAAAATAGTTCTAGGGTTTTGTGCAACTAGTTTAGATTTATTAGTTTTTAATTTTCAAATTGATCACTTTTCATAACACTTTCTATGATTATGCCTGCATTTATTAAATTTGAATGTTTGTATCTGTATTACAAATTACTAGTAGCTCATTTTAAGCCATTTTGATTGAAAGTAGAACCAAATTCAATGATAATTACAAATCAATTAATATTTATTTTTTAAAAAAATTATAATTATTTTCTCTAAATCATTAATTGAAATTCATAAAATTTCTTTAAATAATATTCAAATCAATTAAAATAGTTCACTAGAATAACTTTTAAAACATTTGTGGTTGATGAAAAACACATAGCTTCTCCAAAATTGTTGGATCAAATAATCATTCATATGCTAATTAAAAGAATACGAGACAATGACACCTTTGAAATCTAAGAATTAGCTAGATTCTTGGTCAATATGTTACCCGGAGGTTAAATTATTTTTTTTTACCTTAAAAAATGTTGTGAAAATGTTAGAAATTAAAATAATTCAATGCATGCTAGATGAAATACTTTTAATATGTTGAGATAGTGATATGATCAATAATATTATTTTTTAAAAAATATTAACATGAAAACATATTAATTTAATACAAGTTACCTATGATTAATTTACAATCTGAGACATCAGACTGCTGTGATAATGGAATTCAAATTAAAAAAAAAATATAAAGCCTATTTCTAATCAATCAATTATTTTAAGCTAAAAATAAAAAAATATTCAACTAAAAAAAAAATTAACTTGGATAGAACTAGATTGATAGCTCACACTACATTGCAAGTTGAACCAAATTATCCCCTAGTATATAAAACAAGAGCAATGATAGTGTTTTTAAAGAAGTATAACCAATCTAAGACTTAGATCATTGACTTGATTAAATCCAATAAATCCAGTAAATTTAATAATCAAACAAAAAAATTATAAGTGATCAATTATAAAAAAATGAGTTACTAATATCATGTTTAGAAGGAGAAGAAAAAAAATCCTTCAAGAACTCACCATAGCCAGCAGCCCACCACAAAATAGATCTTAATAAGACGATTCTGATACTATTATAAAAAATTGCATGTTAACACCAAAAAAGATTGCATGCTTTTCTAGAATAACGACTTAAAAGCAAAATAAATAAAATATCATGAAATGACCATATCATTCTTATATTTAAATAATGTATTTAATTTAACTCAAAACCAAAATTTCTTTTAATAAAGTTAAATTTAATTAAAAAAAATAAAATAAAAGGACCTAAGATATCTTAGGTTATTTTCAAAATTAGTGAAAAATTATATAGAATGTAAAAAATTAAAATAAAACTCATGCAAGATGAAATTGAAAAAATATGAGTTAAAAAAAACAAAAAAAATAAACCTAAATAATTTTTTTAAACCTAAGTTAATCTTCAAAATTCAAAATCCATTAAATTTTAGACTCAAGTTCAATCAAGAAACTCAATTTAATATTGTTGAATGATGAAATTGAAAAAAATATATATATTTAAAAAAAAATTCAAAGTAAAAAAATAGAAATAAAAAATGAAGAAAGATGAAATTGCAAAAAAAAATTAATTTTAAAAATAATCTCAAATAAAATAAATAGTAATAAAAAAATAAAAACCAAATTTATCAAATAAAAAAATTTAAAGATGATATTAAAAACTTATTTCAATTCTATACATTAATTCAAATAAAAAATCAAATGAAAAGAACAGAGATTAAATCTTAAAAATTAAAGAGCTACTGAGGCCAAGCGTAAGGCATTTTTTTGCTATTATAAGTTGCTGCACACGCTGCTTGAACATAACAGGGCGACTTGACGGTGAGTGCAATGCCCGTTCCATCCATTTTTATATATATATTTATTAAAATAGAAGATTGCCCATAAGATCGTATGATAATAATAAAAAAAAAGAATGAAACCATAAATAAACCCCTAGAGTTAAGTTAAAGAAATCCTGATTTTTTAATAGCAATACAGTCACTGAAAAAGCTTCTATATTCAAATTTAAAAATTATTTGTTTTTAAGAGAAATTAAATAATTGTGCTGTGAAAAAACACAAAAAGACTAAATTATCCATACTCAAGTTTATAATGACTATTATTTCTAATAAACAATTTAGTTTTTTTAGAAAAGTAAAATATTTATTTTATTATTATAATTCACATGAAGTATATTTACTATACTCTCTCCACAAACTTTAGTGTTATTGTGGCGAACTAGAATTCTTAGAGTTTCGTATTTAGAATTTTCCAATATGAGGGTTCAATAAATAATTTTATTTTTATTTATCGTTTGATTTCCCATTAAATTATTTTGTCAAGATTTTTTCAATAATGTTTTTGTAACATTATCCTTTATATAATTGATTAATTTGGATAACTTAACTTTAATTCTAACAGAACTCTAATTACCACCATTCTGTATGGTAGGCTTCTGCTCTAAATAAATATTTCATTTATTAGCTACTTCATTTATAAATTCTATAATAATAATAATAATAATTTAGGTTGATGCACTAAACTGTATTTATTTTTTTGAAGTATTTTTATTTAAAATATTTAAAAAATAGTTTATTATTTAAAAAAAATTATTTTTAATATTAATGAATAAAAAACATTATTTTTTTAATCAAACATTGTGGAGACCTTCCAAACTGCGCCTAAAAATGTACCGGAAAGAAGTCATCTCTCCTCTGGAGCCACTCACGTCATCATTCTGACACCGACCAGGGAGCAAAGTTGGATTTTATGGGGGCATGATGAACCTATCACGCCGCTGTTATCAGATAATTTTGTGTCATTACCGATCATAATCTCAAGTCAGAACCAAAACATATGCAGCGAGCAACATGTGAAGGAGAGAGCAGGTAGGCAAAAAAAGAAAAGTACAGTGGTTAGCAAATTAAATGTTTTAAGTGCAAGCACATGAAAACAATGACAATCTCCATCTAATCTATAAAATCCAGTGCTCTTCGCTCTAGATAAAGAACATGAGGTGAAGAATTCGAGTGAAAACTCCGAGTGAGTATAAAGCCAATCACCAGATGGCGCTATCTCAAAGCAGTTTGCCCACCAAGACAGAGACCATCAACCAGCTCTCTCCATCTCCAAGCCTCCTTCAACTGAACAGACACAACATGCGTAAGTCCAGCGCCATGGCTTCAAGCGCCTATGAAGATATGGGTGAGCAAAACCCTGTACAAGTAGCCACGAGAGGCACTGTTGGGTCCCTCGTAATGCAAGAACTCGAGTACTTCAGCCAGCTCGAATTAAGCCATGGAAGATCAAAGAAGCCTCAGCCCCTTATTACCGCCCTGGCTTCTACTGGTAGTCAATCCAAAGCCACTCTTGGATCTGCACTTACAACCCCGAAAAAGAAACTGCAAGGAGGAAGCAGGCGTCTACCGAGAATTTGTTCGGTTGTGGAAGTGTCTGATAGCAGTCGGCCAGTTAGGATTTCAGGATTCAGTTATAGAAACCTGAAATCTGAGGTCAAGAAGCTGCAAGCTTAGACAGTTCTCTCAGATAGCTTTGAAAAACCAAGCTTCTTGAGTTTACTTGTTATAGGGTTAGCCCAAGCTCTATCTGGGTTACCACATTTTATGTCCACGATTTCCACAATTTTAGTTGCTTTCCTGTCAGATTTCTCCCTACTTGGCGTTCTATCCAAAATAATATTATCAGAGCCCAGCATCGGCATATGATGGGTGCTTTTTTTGAAGCTTTTCATTTTCGGACTAGTTTCAGGGCTTCTGCGAGTCATGCCGCTGCTGCTTGCTTCATCTAATGATTTTCTTGCTTGTAGTTTTCTAGGAGTAGTAGCACTACAGGGAACCGAAACCAGAATAGTTCTAGGCTTAGTTTGAACAGATGCTGATGCTTGTGGGGAGGGTTTAATTGATTCCAGCTCCTTTGTTATCAGAGCACCAATTGTTCCGGTGGTACCCACCCTGGTAGATCCTCCACCTCCCTTGATAGCTTCTAGTTTCTGAACCATGTTTCTATTTCTGTTCAATCAGAAGTATGAGCTCTATCCACTAGTGTTTTGACATTAGCCTTTAGAGCTTGTTGGGATAGTTGCAGCCAAAGAGTTTCACAAGCCTGTTATGAAATAGACACCTGCATGTACGTGATACTTCTTAGTTGAAGAAATCTGCACATATTTTTAGCACTAGAGTTCTGGTTTTGAGACCATGCCAACAAGTGAAGAGCTAAAACACACAAACACACACACAGAAACAACAAAATCTCTAGTAAACTAGATGGCAGATTTAAATGCAGAATGCTCAGCAGCGTCATATCATCCCAACGATGAGAGTGATGAGTTTTTGATCGAAACAAATATTGCAAGAAGAACTGACTAGCTACAAATCAGATTAGTGAATGTCTTCCCAAAAGTGTTAACAGGAAGAAACGGAAATGGTTTATTTGGCTCCTAAGAAAACAGGAGGTATAATCTAGCAACTGATAGCATTCATCAAACATGAGCTTGGACAAAAATGAGTAGAGATCCAGCAACCTGTAACACTAGTGATAAGTTCATCAAAGTTCCTATTAACATGCTCAGTTAGGATCCAGAAATTGTAGGGATCAAAACATGATCAGCAATAGATATTGAACGCATATTTGTATGTAAAATGCAGAAAGCAAAACGTACCGCAAGATCAGATAGATAGATTTATCCAGATTTCAGAAACCATCAATATCATTAAGATGACCCCAAAAAAACCCCAAATGAAACAAAAGAACCCCAACAACCTACAAGTCAAACCGCAAACAATCCAATGCATCATAGGAGATGGAGATAAAAAAAAAATGATCACAACCAAGATCAAAAGCAAGGCAATCCTGTGAAACTAAGATTTTTTTTTGGCCAACCAAATTCAAAGACAACACCAACAACAATCAAGAATCTGACCTTGAAACGAAACCCGGAGTGGTGGATAGAAACTGGGGATCCTTGCATTAAAAGTTCATGCTATTTTAGGTTGATTTAAGAATCATCACGTGGGATTATGCGCATTCCAAGGAGATATCTAATCCAAGGTCAAACTTTGTAATGAACTCTAAACTTTTTACGAGGAGTGCTTTTGTGTCTTTGTCTACGTTAATGTCAGAGACTGGTCAAAAGGAAGAGCAACCAATCATGTCGCAGTGAATTCTGACTCCTGCGGTAAAGACCAGACAGCAACAGCTTGTGACCTGTAGATTAGCAAATAGCAAATAGCTAGCTACCGTGTCGTTGTCATGGACTGAAGCTAAGAAAAAATTCATGTCCCAATGAACCCAATTTTCGTGGGGTTTAATGACAGAAATTTATTTTTGATAGAGACAAGACTTCTAAAACAAGGAATAATTGATAATTTTAAGACTTGAGATGGCTTAACAATTGATTTGCTGTGCATAAACCAATATCTTTATATCAGAAAACCGGTGTTGTTTTTCTCATCCATTTACGTCTTTGATTCTTTACAAGTATCTGTAATCCCTGCAACTTGCTTGAAAAATATTGCAGTCTTGTGAGCAATACAGAGTTAGGATTATTTGCCAGGGATATTAAAAAATAATATAAGATTTATTGTATATAAGTTGTAAAAAAAACTTGGATGATTTAATTTTATTTAAGTAATTTATTATAAATATATAATGATTTTTATATAAAATAAAATATTTGGAGCATTATCAAATTAAGACAAAATAATGAAGTTAATTTTATTTTTATGATGCATCTATTATTTTAATGTTATTGATCTTTATATTCAAGTTATAGATAACTTTTCAACCAATAAAACTAAAATCGATGAGAATAATTTTTACCAGTTAGTAGATATTCAAACATTAAATATTAATACAGCCCTAAATTAAAGTATACCCATTGAATTTTATATTGTTGATTAACTGGGTATTCCTAAATTTAAAAATAATTGCTTGAATCTCTAATTAAATGAACAATTTCAATTCTAGTAAGAAATTGCTCGCTAATCAATGCAATTTCTTTGTAAACTAAAACACATTGAGATTGCTTAATCATAATTTTAATATTATAAATTGGAATTGGTTCATTAGGCTATGAGTTATCAATATTTAAAAAAAAATAATTATATTTTTTTCATGATTCAACCTAAAATCAAAACATATATCGTGAGAAAAACTTAATAATTTTGGTGATTCTATTAAAAAGAAAAAAATAAAAAAAATAAAAATATAATCAAAACAAACCAATAAAATATATATATATAATTAAAAAAAGTTATTGTAACAAGAATTCAAAAAATAATTGTTAGAACTAGAGATCCAAAAAAAAGAAGCTAAAATAGTAAAATTATAAAAAATCTCATTAATTTTTTAATAAACATCTCAAAATCAAATAAAAATATAATTTAAATTTGAGCTATTGATACCTAATTAACTGGTTTTTTTAATAAAAAATAAATTAATTAGTATTGCTTCAATCTCTCTGAAAAAATTCTGATTGTGATTTATATCTTTATTTTTGTTTTTAACTGGCTGCACTGCTATAGGCATTTATATCAGGGTAGCAAAATACATTAATGACTTTATTTTTATTTTTCAGCGAAGATACCATAAAATCAATAGCAAAGTTAAAGGAATTCAAGAGTAAAGTAAAGAATAGCAAATATATTTACTATAAGAAGGGTTACCTCTTTAAAAAATATTATAGCTCCTCATATTTAATTGCCAAATAAATAAAAAAATTAAAATATCTTGTAAGGGCCCGGACCCGGGCCCATGCTTGCCCCTCTTTCGTTCCACCCCTGCTCGTGAGGCAACCCACTTGATAAATGCATCTCGAGTTATAGTATCTTGAAGAACAATAACACGCGAAGACACACTGGTAGATGGGGCCCGCGCTATACTGCTTGCTGGCATAACATATACTCGGCTAATTTAAATAAAACAGATAAAAATAAAGTAACATTATAAAAAATTAATAACATCAAAAAATAAAATAAAAATCGACTCAAGTACATTTGAATTAATATGTCTTAATTAACATGTCAAGTTTGAGACTTTATTATGATACCAAAGAGACTCCGTTAAAAATAAGTTAAATTAAATTATTAAATATTTAATTATTAAATAGTACAATATTAAAAACTAAAAAAATAATTAATTAAAAAAATCAATAAAAAAAATTCAAGTTAACTTGAGTTATTTTATTAACCTTGTATATGGCTGAGAAGATCATATAAGAAAAAAAATTAAAAAAAGAGAGGAAGAAAACCAATTCTTAATAAATCAAATGTTTAGTGATAAAATTAAAAAAAAAATTTAAAAATAACTTAAAAAGAACAATAATTAATTTTTATTAATCTTCGAAACCTATAACCCTAATTATAAGCTCGAGATTAACTATGTAGAAGGCAAACCCTGAAAAAATAACGATACAAAGTTCTAAACGAACAAAATGCAAATAAATGAAATTGAATAATAAAATAAAAATGATTAAAAAGAAAATAAATAATAATTAAAATAATTAAGACTAAATAATTTGAAATCTTCATGTTAATAGATAAAATTGAAAACAAATTTTAATTAGAAAAGTGAAAAAAATCAATAAAAAATAAGGATTAAATTTAATATAAAAATTAAATGAAACAAAACTATGAAGAATAAAATTGAAGAGAAAAAATAATTTAAAAGGAGATATACAAACTAAAAAAATAACAATAAAAAAATAATGATCAAATTCAATACTAAAAATAATTTAAAAGACATCTTTATATTATAAGAGGGAGAAAAGAGAGAAAATAAAAAGAAAAAAATTCATCAAAACTCAATTATTATACCACCATGTATACGAGTGACAACATTGAAAAAACAAATATAGCACTTCTAATGTTGTTACAAAAAGCAAAGTTTAGAGGTGAGATGACACCTCGTGTATTGCATAAATAGCTCGAGTGTTATCTACTAATATATGTTCTGGTTATTTTTAAAAAAATAATATTTATGATTATCAAAATATAAAATTGCTCCCAAGTCAACTTAATAATTACCAAAATAATAATTTGAAATTATGTAAAATCCCTTGAATGATAGTTTGAAAAAAAAAAACTTTAAAGAGTAATCTATTCTTTATATTATGCTTTTAAAATATAAAAACACCAAATTATCCTCTATCACTCCTTTGAAAAAACTTCCGATAATAGATTCTTTACCTTGCCTATTTTTTAAGTTAAAAGATCAAATTATTTAAGAATATTTTTACAATAACTAATAAATCCTATAAAAAATACTGTTTTATTCTGATAGCAACAAGTTAATTGATATTTTTTTTTTAAAAAAAAAACAAGATGATAATTATAGTATTAGGGTGAATAGAGAGAGAGAAAAACATGCACCTGGAAATGCAATTTACAATTGATTCACTACATATACACTGGAAGGAAGTCCATAAAATGTACTTATACCATGAACGGTAACCCAATTGTTTACTCCGAGATGAATTTCTCAAACATTTAAGTGTTCTTTATTGTAATAGATTGACTTCGAAAACGAAGGATTCATATCTTAATTCGGGTAGAATGTTTTTTCATTATAAAAACATTATAATAGATGAAAAAATTAGTGTGTTTAGAATCACGGTACAAATTATTTTTTAAAAATATCATAATTACTTAACTCAATAAATTGACTCGGAAAGTTTAGAATTTGTATTGATTATGGACGATAATTTTAATTCAAACTCTATGGATATTAACTTAAAAGAATGAATTTTTTTTATAGTTATTTTATCTTGTGAATAATAAATAATAAATAAATACTATTAAACCCAAATAAAAATAAAAATAATAATAATAATAATAATAATGCGTATGTGACATTTATATTTTTTTCATAGGCTCACACTCAAATACTTTGCATCTAATTGCCAGAAATAAACAAACAAATAAAAAATCTTATATATAAATAAAAAGAAAAGGAAAAAACAATCTTCGGCCCAGCAAAGTTCTAAAGGAGCGTAACTTTACAGGTCTTTAATCATGAACAAGCGACGTGCAATACTAGGCCCGTTGCAACGCCTCCAGTCAAAAATAGAAGCCCAACTTGGATGTCTACAAGTCAAAACTGGAAGCCATTCCTTTCCTTCATTTGCAATGGCTAATAAGCTTAATTTGTTTTTGTATTTTAAAAATAATTTTATGATAT